GATATCATCAGCTTATCCAGAGATATGACTTAATTTGTCTTGTTGGTTATGATAATACATTCCTGTTTGGTCTGAATCCTAATTTTATGTAAATTTATTGAGTATTTTTATGTTAATATAAAGATTAAGCCTCAAATATTATTTGTATATTAAGATTTCCCAGTTAGAAAGAAACAAAATCATTGTTAGCTCACAGGGAAAAATTCAAAATCAGAATTTTTGTTGCTACTGCTCAAAAAAATGCTTCAAAAATYTTTTTAGGATCATATTTCAGACAGTTCATTCAAATGATTCATTGACAAGGCATTAATTCATTCTATTTTGACAAAATGCAATTCTTGCAAACGGTCAAATCAAAAACTTCTAACCCTACATATGTCTATTTCTCCACATCCCACTTTTGGACTTAATCCTCATTTGAATGTGACGGGTCACATTTATATTTTTATTTAGTCTATTATGTTTGTTTTATTAGTTCATAGTTCTCCATGCATTTAAAAAAATCTAATTGACAATTTAATGAAAATTTTCGAGGACCCCGAAGATACCTCTCACTGACTCCTGGGGGTCCTGGGACCCCAGTTTGAGAACCTCTGCTCTACACTGCAGACCACCATCAACACCCCACACTGCCACCTCCAGAAGTTCTCTGGTGACTCTGTCATAGTCTGCCTCATCGCAGGTGAGGACGACTCAGAGGACAGACAGTGGACTCAGAGGACAGACGGTGGACTCAGAGGACAGACGGTGGACTCAGAGGACAGACGGTGGACTCAGAGGACAGACAGTGACTCAGAGTACAGACAGTGGACACAGAGGACAGACGGTGGACTCAGAGGACAGACGGTGGACTCAGAGTACAGACAGTGGACACAGAGGACAGACGGTGGACTCAGAGGACAGACGGTGGACTCAGAGGACAGATGGTGGACTCAGAGGACAAACAGTGGACTCAGAGGACAGACAGTGGACTCAGATGACAGACAGTGGACTCAGAGGACAGACGGTGGACTCAGAGGACAGACGGTGGACTCAGAGGACAGACAGTGGACTCAGATGACAGACAGTGGACTCAGATGACAGACAGTGGACTCAGAGGACAGACAGTGGACTCAGAGGACAGACAGTGGACTCAGGACTTTGTGGACTGGTCCCAGCAGAACCACTTCCTGATCAACGCTGTTAAAACCAAGGAGCTGGTGGTGGATTTCCACAGACACAGACCCACCTCACTGACACCAGTGAACATCCAGGGAGTGGACATTGAGAAAGTGGGCTCTTATAAGTACCTGGGTGTTCACCTGAACAATAAACTGGWCTGGACTCAAAACACGGACTCTTTACAGGAAGGGTCAGAGCAGACTCTACCTGCTGAGGAGGCTGAGGTCTTTTGGAGTGCAGGGGGCACTCCTGAAGACATTTTATGACTCTGTGGTGGCATCAGCCATCTTCTACAGGGTGGTTAGCTGGAGTGGCAGCTTAACTACATCTGAGAGGAAGTGGTTAGATAAATTAATCAGGAAAGTCAGCTCTGCGCTGGGATGCCCCCTCGACACAGTGCAGGTGGTGGGAGACAGAAGAACTCTGACTAAAATAACATCATTGAAGAACAATGGGAGCCTCCAACCATTGTTTGAGTTGGATAGGTCCCGCCTACTCTATTGCGCCCAGACAGATGAGAGCCGTCAGGAGTCAATCTTCACTGAATAGGAAAATTACAACTAAACTGAACACTTTTGTGTGCTGGCAACCTGAGAAATCACTGGAAAGATGGGGTGGATCACTTTACCTAAAGTTGACCACTGGAAGACTCCCGGTGAGTGACCTTCACTCAGTTAACTCCCTTTAGCTTAGCCTCAAAATGCAACCATAGTCAAGACTACAAGATTGCAATGCAAAGATATTTTGTCAATGGATAATAGACCTTTCGCAAAACCCCGCCCCCAACCAGCCATTGTCCAATCACACGTTATGAGCATCTCCGGCTATGTATGCTAGGTCCGACATTCTACAAGATGGAAAAGTGGAAATGTTGTTCTTAATTAGTTTAGAACTATTTCAGTCATATTAATGTGATAAAATGCTCGTATGTGTGCAAACACCCTCCTAAATGTTTTGTTCTGAATTATTTTGTTAAACAAGGAGAGAGGACAGACAAATAATTACAGTTGTGTTGGTACTCTGTGGGAGATAAGATGACTTCCTTACTTTGTTTTTAGAATCAATCAAATCAATCAATCAAAACTTTATTTACATAGCACTTTACAAACCCCAAGGCGACCAAAGTGCTTCACAGCAAAAATAAAAATAAAAACATAGTAATATAAAAGCATGCAAAACAATCAGAACTTCAAAAACAAAACAGAAGGGAGAGAGAAAAATAAATAGAGAGAGTGAGACTAGGCTATTACATTACATGTGGTCTCTGGAGTTAAAAGCCAAACCAAAAAGATGGGTCTTTAAAAGAGATTTAAACTCAATAAGTGTTCTGGCAGACCGCACGGAAAGACTGTTCCAAAGTTTAGGAGCCACAGCTGAGAAGCTCTGTCCACTTTATTCACCAGCCTGGTGAATAAAGTGAGCCACCAGTCCTGGGAACCACCAAAAGCATCTGATCCTCAGATCTTAGAGCTCTAACTGGATGGTAATTATGTAGAAGCTCAGAGAGGTAACCAGGTGCCAGACCATTTAAACATTTAAAAACCAAAAGTAAAACTTTAAAAACAATCCTAAAAGAATCAGGCAGCCAGTGAAGGGAATGCAGTACCGGGGTAATGTGCTCAGATCGTTTGGTCCCCGTTAACAAACGAGCAGCAGAATTCTGAACCAACTGAAGACGGTGGAGCAGAGACTGGTCAATCCCACTGTAAAGGGAGTTGCAATAATCCGGTCTGGAGAAAATAAACGCATGAATAACACTCTCAAGGGTATCATGTGGAAGATAAGGCTTGACTTTACTGATGAGCCTTAAATGATAAAAACTAGACCGGACCACTGCGCTGACCTGCTTGTCAAATTTAAAATTATTCTCTAAAAGAACTCCAAGATTTTTATTAAAATGACTATCAAAATCCAAATAGCCAACAGCACTGTGTTAAATCCTACCAGCAGGTCAGTTTTGCCAAACCCAATGACCTCTGTTTCATTTTCATTTAGACAAAGAAAGTTTAGCTCCATCCAATGTTTAACATCCTTTAAGCAATTCTGCAGATTCTCCACATGCTGAGGTCCACCAGATCTTAAAGGTAAATAAATCTGAATGTCATCTGCATAAAAATGAAATGACAAATCATACTTRTTGAAGATGGGCCCTAGTGGGAGCAAATAAATAGAAAACAAAATGGGGCCCAGTATGGAGCCTTGAGGTACCCCACATTTAAGAGAAGCCTTTGAGAAATAAAAATCTCCAATATGAACAGAAAAATTCCTATCAGATAGGTAGGACTCAAACCATTTAAGAGCTGAGCCTTTCACCCCAACTGACCGCTCCAAACGAGATATTACATCTTCATGATCCACTGTGTCAAAGGCAGCAGTGAGATCTAGAAGAATTAAAACAGCAGAAGCACCAGAATCTACAGTTAAAAGCAGGTCGTTACACACCCTGAGAAGAGCTGTTTCAGTACTGTGACGTGACCTAAAACCAGACTGAAACTTCTCATAAATTCCATTCAGCTCTAAATGGTCCAGTAGCTGAAGATAAACCACCTTCTGTAAAACCTTTGAGAGAAAAGGCAACTTTGAAACTGGCCTAAAATTTGAAAGGTCGTTAAGGTCTAAGTTGTTCTTTTTAAGAAGAGGCTGAATGACGGCATGTTTAAAGGCAGCTGGAACACACCCTAAATGAAGGGAAAAGTTAACAAAACCAGCTACCCATGGACCAACAACGGTAAAGACCTCTTTCAGAAGTCTGGAGGGGATAAAGCCTGTACAGAATTAAGGCCTCAGATGTAAAGTAAAGAAAGTAGCTGTAGTTTATTTAGTAAGAGAAATAGTTACATAATTTTAATTTAATTTTAATTTTGTATATGCATGCATGCAAATTGACAGTGAGATTTTGGAAATCTGCTGAGGGCTAGACCCCCTCCTGATCCCTGAACCCCCCTTATGTGGCAGTATGTGTTGCTGCCATGAAAATTAATCAAAAACAGGAAACTTGAACATTTTCATAAATGTTTTCTACCCTTACTGAAAAATGTAATTTACATTTAAAATTAGCTAAATGTCAAAACATAGATATACATGTATTTACTAATAAAATGTTAGTGGAAAATCTTTAACTAGGTTTTCACACTCAGAAAGTGAGCTAAATGATGAATATGTGTTTTAATCTTAACTTGTTATTTGACACCTGGGGTCCTGAATCTTGTTTGAACTAAAACACAAAGGTGGTGCTATAGTTTTTCCACCTGGAACCTACATCTTTAAAAAAAAACAGCTTTTAAAGCTCTTAAACGCTGTTTTTGTAAAAGCATGTCTGAAAAAAATTATTCACAAAATGTTCCTATAAAAGCTTGGGCCCGCACGGCAAGAAGCTGATGAATGAATGAAAAAAGAAAATGTGTTTGTTATCCTTCTGACAGCCCTGCTGTCATGGTTCAGTGCTCACACAAACTCTCTGCTTTAAATCTTATTTACGGACAAAACTCTAACTGCAGCTGTGATTGGATCTTCATTTCATCATAATCCACACTGTCTATTTTGATTTCTGTTTGAGAATGAATATTCAGTGTTCAAACTGTTTAAAAATAGGAATTTTTTTTCACAATTACACCTTCAAACACATCCTYAACAAGCTGAAATATCTGCACCGTTTTTAAACGGATTGATTAAGATAATAWATGTCCTGTCACATTGTGTTAGCTCATGTTTGGTCAATTTAATAACATCTTTGTTTTGATTTTCTCTTTTCTTTCCCATGTGACCTCTCCACCTCCCCCCACTCTGTTCTTTGTTCGATGGGTCAACGCCCTCCGCCCCCTCCTCCTCCTCACCCAGAGTTGGCTGTTGAAGGAGGGACTGTGGACCTGGGCTCCTGGGCAGGAAGCGTCCGTCTCCGGGAGCAAACCACCAGATTAAAGTGCACCAACATTTATTTGTCTCCAGTCTCCAGGGGCTGCCTCTGAAGTGTGTGTGTGGTTTGTGCGTAAGCTGAGAGAGCGTGTGTTTTCATATGTTGATGAGTGTGTGGGTGTTCTGTGTGCTTTTTGATGGGACGTTAAGAGATGTGCATGTCACAGCATCTGTGGATGGGCTGTAGGGGGCCGTCCTCCCCTGCTCCCCCCCTCATCCTGCTGCTCCTTCCCTTGTTTCTGCTCTTCATGATGCCTCATTTAGCTCAGGGAGCTATCACCATCCCCCCACACTGTGAGTACTGCTTCACAGCCAACACCTCTGAACAGAAATGTAACTGGAAAACAGGCGCAGCTGGTCCATCAGGGCAGGTGGGGCTGCTCAACCAAATTCATTCACCCCACAAAGTAGTTCCTCCTAATAAACAAGGTTGTTTACTTAGCTTACATGGATTGTTTTGTTCTGTGTTTTTTTTATTTTCGTCAATTTTAAATGGGTCTTAAAACTTTTTCCTAATTAATTAATTTTAAATGGAATTTAAAATGGACTGTAGTGATTCCTTCTCAGTTTTGTACCTACAGCGGGTAAAATAAGTATTGAACACGTCACCATTTTTCTCAGTAAATATATTACTAGAGGTGGTAATGACATGAAATTTTCACCAGATGTTGGTAACAACCCAAGTGATCCATACATACAAAGAAATCAAACCATAAATGTCCAGAAATGAAGTTATTTGTAATAATGTGGAATGGCACAGGGAAAAAGTATTGAACATAAATATGTTTACTGAGAAAAATGGTGACGTGTTCAATACTTATTTTACCCGCTGTATATATT